CGAATGAACTTCACGTGGTAATAGTTTAAAGAGGAACAAGCACCCTACATATGAATGAACTTCACGTGGTAATAGAAGCGAATATGTTTAATACACCAACTCACAATGAGTTTAATATAATTTTCTATAACTTGTAAAGCCACAGAAAATTTATCGTTCGGGGAAATGTATGTAAGAGCCTTTTCGAACTCGAAATGTTCATACAATCAGTTTATAAATGTATGTTCAGTTCGGGGGTTTATGATTTCCTAGAGTGTGATATGCCTTGTACTTAATATTGGAAAACAAAGGAATATGGATCAACTTGGAGCCATACAAAAAAAAAGAGAACTGCTACAAGTCGTAGTTCAGCAGCGATAATCAAAGTGCGGTGTTTTATAACAGCTGAGAAGCTACGTGACAAAACCATTCACGTGACCCAAGCAAGTACGTAACGAAAAAGAATTTCCGCCTGGAAAAGTGACATAACTCACGTGCACACAGTTTGCTTCCATGACATACCAGTTTAACGGTCGCATACCTCAAGCAGCTGGAGAATGAAGCGGGTATTCATGCTATTCTATATGAAGACATACTGGTCAAATCATTGGATGCAGCGCCTACAGATTAATGTGCGATTAGACTGTTGAAACAGGCACTAGGAAGCCGTCCCCTTGGTACACTATCGAGGAGGGATGTGGATTGAACATGACAGCCTTATGACGTAGCAGGACTGTTGTCAAGTGCACGATCGCCAGATAAAGCATAAACTGGCAGGACGAGGTTCGGAAATCGTTAATATAACGTATTCAACCTTTGTATACGTGACCATCAATAAAATAGTATTTATAATTTCTGAGAAATGCAAGTGTCAATATCATCAATGTTACCTAAAAAATACCTGTAAATGCTTGTCTTAAATGTTTAAAAGAGGGAAGGAACCCAGAACCATGTGAATGTTACTTGTTATGATGGAATTCAACAGATTTAGGGTTAACTAGCTTAAACCCTCACAAATGTGAAACCTATGAGAAGACTACGGTATTGGAACAACAACTTTAGTATCACATAAAATCACACCTATAGATGAAAATACATTGCCGAAGAAAATTCAACCTGCATATTCGTATGTGTAAGTAAACAACATGGCGCAGTCGTGTGTTAACATTAATTTCATTTAATTTGAATTTGATGACGAGGAACCAACTTGAATACAAAATGGCAGCACACTTTCCACGTGTTTTTGTGTACAAGAATTAACAACACAAAAAATACAGATATTCAGAAAAGTAAAGCAAGCCAAAGAATAACAGAGTTGTACGTAGATCAGAGAAGAACTTTGATTCAAATAGAATAAAAATACACATATTTAATAAATGCAAGGAAAACCACAACACTTTTGAACATCTTTCGTCTCGAGATTTCGACACAGGAATACTGATGCTCAATCGTGTACAAAATTTAGTTTTAATTACCTCCGCCACCGAAAGTGGAAGGAGGTTGTGTTTGTCAGCAGGATTTCTCGAAAACGGCTGAATGGATTGCGACAAAATTTGGTATACATTTGGACTATGACCCAAACTAGAAGTGCTTAGTTTTGGAGAGTAAAAGGACAAGGTCACGAATATCATATCTGAGGACCGATTTTTCATATAATGTTTGCTCTGTAACTCAGTCAAAAGTGATCGGCTTTTGATGAAACTTAGTAAACGTATATATAATATTATTTCTCATTGTCCTGCCAAAAATGATCTGTATCTGTTGATAACGACGGACACATTTTTATATTGTCCCCCGGTGGTAAATCTACGGATTTACAATACTTAAATCCGAGGTTCGATTCCCCGCGGTGGACACATCAGATAACCCAATGTGGCTTTGCTCTAAATAAACAAAGAAATTTTCTGAGAGTCGAATATTATCAGCGCTGCGCTCTATTGGGTGCCCATCTAGTTATATAAGATTTATTTTTTCCAAACTACAACAACGTATTCGGGCGTTTACAGGTGCATGAGTAGATGTAAGTGTTCAGAAATGTTTTCGACTCAGATGCTTTTAAAATGCATTGGCAAAAGAAAAGGATACGTCAATTAGGTACGAATGTTTCACAAAGATAAGAAATATTTTGTTTCAGTGTAACTTTAAGCAGCGTAGATATAGTAGGTTTGAGAACTTTAATGGACTGCAACTACCCGTTGAAACATTTCGGGTTCTATAGTAATACCTTCTTTAGGCCTCAGTATAGAAACGGCTACTTTTGTTTTAACAAATAATTGTAGTCTAACCAACAATAAATATAGGTAGAAAGATAAAGAAGTAGGAAACACTGCCATCTACAGGTTAGTCTTTATATCGTATTGTGTGAGATGTAATAACATACTGAACTGTTGCTATGTTGATCATGAATTATCAGCTAGTGCAGTCGGTTCCGATGATTAACTCATTCGTAATATCAGAAGTTTAACGAGTAAATAGTATGTCTTCACCAATTTTTTTACTATATCTAGAAACACTGAAACTACGTGGCAGTATCAAAAGATTGTCTAATAAATGACGGTAGTTTGTCGGCTTATAACGCAAAAAAACGGGATTCGATTCCTCGCAGTTGACAGAGCGCAGAAGGCCCATTGTGTCATGAAAAGTCATTTTGATTAACATAATAATGTGTTTTTCTTTGTGTGGTTGTGACACAAGTTATTTTAACAGAAATTCCTGTAGCATACTCACACATCGGAAATATTCAAATAACTTGCATATAATATTTGTTCATTATTAGTTAACTTAGAAACACGCTTATAAACTGAGCGAGTAAGCTATGCATTAAAACCAAGAAATAGGCACGAATTTTGTAACCCTGCACAATAAAGAATATTGAAAACTGAAAGAGATTTACGTGTTTATGAAAACCATGTAATGTCAGTCTGCTAGTTATTTTCACACAGCACCTGACACCAGTGATGGACAGTTACTGAAAATCGATCCTGACATTTTAATGCACACTGGACCACATTGAGGCAGTGGTACTTATACTCCTTACCGAATGCAGAATTTGTGGAAATAAATAACATCTATGAACTACACTGATCTAGCATACGTTAAGTATTTTTGTACAAGCACCAGTGTTACATCTGCGATTTGCACAGTATTATCCTCTTGTGTTTGATGTTGTATACGCTTTCATTTTGTACAAACATAACTTCGTAAACTGCTTTCATTTTTGTTTATTGTGCATAAAAATATGACTTCTGGCACAAGTAGTGAAGTAAAATCAAATTATTTAATTGTACCAGAATTTTCTTGTTGTTTTTACTGTTTGCTGTAAATATAGACTACAGCCCTACACAGATATCCTTGGGATATAATGTACAATGAGTTTATTTATTCAATCTATTTATGTAAGCTCATTTATTTAGATTTATTTTATTAGTTAATGGGGTAGTAGGCTTGAATTTGCTTAAAAATGATAAATGTGTGAATAAAAACATTACATTTAACTAAAACATGTATGTAATGTGGCTGGAAGAATTTAACTGTAATGTTAATAAATAAAAAAAACACAGATTTTTGTGTTTATTATTGATAGTAACAAATAGCGCAGTTATTACATGTCGAACATGGCTGTTCACTAGTTCCATTTCTATGTCCTCATTGCAGTCCTTACTCTTGTCTTCCACAGATATTTCTAGTGCTAATTTATCCAGCTTCTTCCAATACAAAACCAGATTGATCAATTCACATCATATATTTTCCAATATATATTTTCATCTAACTTGAGCAAGTGTTTGCTTAATTCTTCAAGCAGCGATTCTTTATTAGCTATCACCTTCACTAGCACGTAAGGTTTAGATTTCTGGTTTGCTTGTTTTTAATCCTTGCTAATGTGACTGACAATAAGGTCAACGTATAAAGAATATGGTTTTGAAACTAAACTACTGGCTTGGTGGTTAGGGTGCTCGACTCGCAATCTGAGGGTTGCGGATTCGAATCCCCGTCACACTAAACATGCTCGTTCTTTCAGCCGTGGGAGTATTATAATGTGAAGGTCAATTTCATCATTCGTTGGCTGCAGGTGATGTTGGTTAGCTGCCTTCCCTCTAGTTTTTCACTACTATATTAGGAACGGCTCGTGCAGATAGCCCTAAAGGAAACCAG